TCCAGCAACTGCTACGACTGAATCACCAGAGGGGAAAAAAAATATCTTCAATGGAAGCATTAACTGACATACTGTATGCACATCCCAAAGAAAATAGGACCAAAGAATAAGCAATCATACTCATTTTCATAGATTTGTCTTCAGTTTGCAATATATTTTTGTGAGTTTTGGTTACCTGAACTTAACAAGCAGGAAGACATATAAGAGACAGCCCTGTAACACAGCCTCAGCAACAAAACTATGATTTTATATCTTTTTTTTTTTTTTTTTTTTTTCCTCAAACAAGATTTGAAGCTGAAAATCCAATTATCACAGTGTATTTTTAACCTGTCCCATAGTTACAGCCTCCTAGAAAAAGTGAGGTTTTCTCCCTTCAGACTTAAATTGGACACACAAATTTGTACAGAATTCTCTCTTCACGGGCCATGATCAGTTTGGGTTACATTGCAGGTTTGGACCAGGCAGCCAAATAAATTAGTGCAGATGAAAGTATACACGTGCTTTCTAGCTGCTTATATTTTTAAACACTGAAATCAACAGTTAGCAGTTTCAAAATCTCATAAAGGTTATCACAACACTCTGCATTTGTACTGTACACCACCCAGTGAATAGGCTACTCTTAATTTGGACATTTCCTCTCACTGGGTACAGCAATTCCTCAATTCACAGTCTCTTCACCACTGTCCAGGTTCTCAAGAAAGCCATTAATATGCCCAAAGATTTGTTCACAGTCGAATTCAAAACAAAACCCAAAAAACAGCTTGAGAACTTGACACAGTCCTGTTCAGAAACCTGACCTTTGTCATTAATTCTAGGGGCTTCTCAAAGTGACATTTGATTCTGAGTAGGACATGGAGCTTTGAGCCCAGAAATAATAGAAAGTATGAGTAAATTTACACTTCTTTCTTTCTTCTCACTTGGAAGTGTCTCAAAGGACATTAATTACACTCTCCAAAAACTCACAAGCTTGGAGAGTTTGCTGGCAAGGAGTATTTTCCCAGTACCTCACTGCTATAGATTAAAGCAAAGCATGAAGAGAAGTACAAATACAGGATACTGAATTTCTGATGCCTTACAGTTGGTAATGTATGATGTAATCCTCTTATCCTGCCCAATGTACATATGCTGAAAATGCTTAGAAGTGGTACCATGCAGCTGTCACTGTTTCACATACACAAATTCAACATTTGCCACAACATAACATGCAGTTACCATGGATATTTCCCTGTTTTTAAGCATACTGGGAAGAAAAGAGAAGAAAAAAATGCCACGAGCAAAAATCTCTGATGTCCATTGTACAGTAACCTTGAACAGATGTTGGCTCTGTAGCAACAGCCACCATACTGACTAAAACATCCGCACATTAGTTTGTTCTGCTTACCACAGATGAATTATCTGTGCTCTGCCTGCGCTGTGTGCCATACAAGGATTGGCACAGGACAATCAATACCCAAAGGACGTTGTGAACTGCTAACAGGCAGTGCAGAGTGAAAGTTGGTTCATGGCCAAGATCCTTCCTGACATCACAAATTCAAAATAAGTTTTCAATTAAGGATAAATTATCCAACAAAAGAGGTACAAAATAAGACTACTAGTGAAAAGGAAGGGGTATGGGAGCAGGAGTGGTTACAATGAGCAATCTCCCTAAAAAGACAGAATACCAAACACGGCTTCTTTATCCTGCCATCCTGGAAATATCCTCGGAAGAGACAGTGTATTAAATCCAAACACATGCTGGCCCCCAAAAAAGGATGCATCAGACCAACCGTCAACTAGATGGAGGTGATAAGAAGGTCCTCAAAGACAACAGGGAAATTGTGGAGCATTCCAGTTGAACAAAAGTGGGAGCTAAAATTTCTCGTGTCAAATTTGCATCTGTGCCTGTATGAAATTGTTTTCTATTATCGTAAGAGACATGCTCCATGTTTTGTTTAAGCAAAGGCCTCTAAGCACTAATGCCTAGCAAAGCCAGTTTAACTCATTTGGCTGAAGGTAGATACAACCACCTGCCATTTCTTTATTTCCCACCTGTCTTTCTTACCATAAGAATTCAAACTGGAGCTCTGAAGCTGCAGAGCACATTTTGCTCCACAAAAGTGAGTGAACTATGGGACACAAAAAACTTTGAAGCCTTCCCCATCTCAAAGAAATCTACAGTAGAAAAAAATCATCATCTCATCTTCAAAGCATCCACTTTAGCACTGCACCACCCCTGCATCTCCTTTGCAGTTTTCAAAACAGTATTAGGAAAAAAAAAAAAAATAGAAAAAAAAATTTTAAAGCTTCTATACATATCTTTTGTATCTTTTGCACCCAGCATCAAATAAACAGAACTTTCAAAATTAATCCAAACTGTTGCCTTGACATTGCTTGCAATTATGGCAGTTAGACATAAACAAACCAAATTTCTGAGATGGTGGAATGGCAGAATTACATCCTTGTATGGAACAGGACACCCTGCTGCCCCTACTTTTCTCTCTCAGTGCTTATTAGAGTCTCTGGGGTGCACTGATTGCTACTCATCCACATTTTGCATACTGTACAAGCATGATTATTCCCACTAGACCAAGCTTCTTTCTCAAATACTTAGCACAATATTGCTGCAAGGAAGTTGCATGTTACTATTTCCTTTTTTTGCTCCAGTGAGACATACTGCTAAGGTATATTTACTAGTTGATCACAATGAAGCATTGTCATGAATTATTTAAAAAACAATTGTCAAAGTAAATGAGCAAGGTACTGCTTATTTGAGAATACACATTTGCTTGCTTGCTAATTTGTAATGAATAGTCTTCCCACAGAAGGCTTCATGGCTATTACTATGAGGCAATGTAGTCCCACAACATGATTTATTGTTTTGCTATACTATACCCCTGATAAATGCTATAAACATCAGTATGCTTGTTTGCTTAAATTTCACATCTATAAGCAAATACTGGGCAGATAATCGCCACATAAAGAAAGACCACAGTATCTAAAAATGCATGAACTCCATTAAGGAATAAATAAATAAGTAGTTCAGAGTTTGGTCAGCAGCCTCTGCCACTATTTGGGAAAAAAAAAAAATCAATTAACTGAAGCTGTGAACAGCTAGTCAAAGCAAGGGCTTTAGTGGACTATTCTAGACTGTGCATGAAAGGTTCTAGCAGTCAGAGTCACCTGGAGTTCAAGAAAAATTTGTCTTACTACAAAACATGCAATATTACATTTAATTGCTCAAATATCATCATTTAATTCTCAGTATTAGACAAGCCTATGCTCATCTCCTCAAGGTAATACCATTCAGAAATTGCCAGCTGCTGCAGAATTACTGAAAGCCTCTTACACAGCATTAAATATGAAATGCCTCAGAGAAGACAAGAATGTTACATTTATCAAGACAGAAGTGTTGGTAAGCCCTAACTGTCCCCTAATTTTTTGTTTGTTGTTTTAAGATTAAGCAATGATGTAAATCCAGTTTTCCCATAATCTAAGAAAGGACACGCCAAAATAAGAGGACATGAGAGAAGGCTCTCATTCATTTTCCTGAAGTTGTTCCATAATATGCACCCAATTATCAACTAAAAAAAATATATATATATATATTTACATTCCTGGAAGCAATTCCTGGAGCAAGGAGCATTACAGATCTTAGAATGGCTTGGATTGGAAACGATCCTAAAGATCATCTAGTTCCAAACCTCCTTGCTTTGGGCAGGACTGCCACCCACTGGATCAGGCTGCCCTTGGCCCCAGCCAACCTGGCCTTGAACATCTCCAGGTATGGGAGATCCAAAGCTTCTCTAGGCAGCCTGTTCTAGTGCCTCACCATCAACTCATCCCCCAGGAAAGATACCATCCCCAAAGAATCCTGAAATATGAAAAAATATATATAATAAACCATGCAGCACAGCTAAGAAGCCAAGTTCCATTCAGTCTAGGTGGTAGCATGAGACAGATTTGGTCACCTGCCCTCCATTGAATACTGTATCATTCACCAATGAAAGAGCTTCAACAAAAGCTAGTGAGACTACCCCAGAGCACCACACAGACAGCCAAGTAGTTGAAAGACACAGGAAAAAATTGCTTTCAAAATCCCCTAGATGTGTTTAGGATTTGAAAGTGTCTGACTTGCTGAAGAAATAAAGAAAAAAGATACTGAGCAAGAAAATAAACAGCCACAGCAACACATACTGAACCTTAACTATCTAGCAGTCAAAAGTTAGGTAACCCAACAGTCAGTGTCATAACATGTAAACATTCTGTCTACATTCAAACTGAGGTGCTAAAAACAAAACAAAACCAACCAACAACAAGAAAACACCATTTGCATTCAATGTGAAATAAAAATCCAGTTCCTCATGTGTATCTTTAAAGAATCACCTGGATAACTTAAGTCCCATTTTGAGTAGCATATGGGATAGCTAAAGCCATAAGTAGCATAAATTCAATACAGAATGCACCAGGCTTTCTAATGATAACTACAGTAGCCTTTGCAATCATGCTCTACTTTCTTTTGAAATACCTGCCCCATTCCCTATACCGTAGCCCTTGTCTATTTACACTTTAAGTCTTTAGGGCAGGAACTGCCTCTGACTGGAATTGTGGAGTCTTAAACTCCGCTGGGCCTGCAGGTATTCCTTTGATGCAGATCATAATATGCTTACAGAAAGGAAAAAGACAACGTTCTTTAGCAGCTAGATTAAGTTTGGATAAGCAACCACTTATTTCTGGCAGTTAATGCACAAGAGGGCAAGAAATACTATCTTTGATCTACACTCACCTAACAAAAAGGGACTGTTTTGACAGGTAATTTCTAATCAAGAGGATAATCCAGACAGTGCATTGCAGCTAACATTGGTGAACAACATTTTATTAAATTCAAATACTAGTGAATTGTCAGCACTTATTTCAGCCTGCGCGTAGTGCAGCTTTCAGCACTGTTGATCATGAAATTTTAATAGAATGCTTGGAAACATTCACTGATATTTCAAGAACACCACCGGATTGATTTAGAACTTAGCTGCTCTCCAGAGAGAAGTCCTTGTTGTCTGGTATCCTCCTTTTCCTTTTCAGCTCAGCAGGTCACTGAAAAAAAAAAAAAGAAAAAAAAATTTGCTTGAAATTCAGGTTTACTCAGAATTCACAGGCTGTGCTATTGCCCATCACTGAAATTCCATATTTCTCAAGAGCTTTCCATTGCTGTCTAGATTTATTTCACTTTTATTTCATTTGATGTTATGCTGGGATCTCCTTTCCCCAGCTCCATGCAACAGTAAAAACTCACATGCAGTCAAGTTTCCTTACAAGTAAATGCATTCAAACTTGAAATTATGATACCATTTCACCCCACTGCCCTCATAATAGCCCACTTCCATTTGCTTTTCAACAGCCAAGTTTGGATAAAAACCTTGCCTTCAAGATCATTTTGGACTGCAACCCATCCTGTGAATTAAATTCAAAATGTGACAAATATGTGCACAAAAACCTCACACATTTCTCCCTCACATCCTATGACAGCCCGTTCTCCATCTCATGAATATTGCCTGACTTTGCCGACATTCGTTTCCTAAGACTCAAGTTCTGCTTTGCACCCTGATTTCCCCCCAGCCACTTCATTATCACAGTTCCAGTTAGTTAGTCTTCCCATTGCATCAAACTGTAATACAGAGAGAGCCTGTCTGTACTGCCCGGCAGGAGACACCCAGCTGCCTCTGGCACTGCTAGCCTGGTGCTGTGCCAACAGCCAGCCTGAAAGTAACCAAAAATAAACACAAGCCTCATTCCAGCCACTTGAAATAAGACCTGAGTATGGATCAGGCTCTGGGGGCCAGTTTCACCATAATAAATTGTAGGCATTTCACTCCTACATCTTAGGAAAGCTGGAGATAGCAGGAAAAGTAGGTGAATTCACAGGCAACCTAACCCTGTCAGAGCTACAGTTCTCTGAGGAGCACCGGAGCTTTTAAACTACAAAGTACGGTCATTATTTAATAATACATACTGCCTTTTGACATGGCTTACCTTTAAAAAAAGAGGAGCCCTCATTTTGCCACAGGAACTCCAGTCAGCCTGCCCTCCCGATGCCCCTACACAGCTCCTATCCAAATGAAGCCTCCAAGAGCTTTTTTCCCTTTACATTTGCAAAGACTACAATGCTCTAACTTCAAGACCCTGCAGCTTCTGCCTGTGTCACCACAGAGATGCCCAAGACCACAGCTCATCTCAGCCAAGTGCATGCAATGATCACACCTGTGCAGTTCTTCACACATGCACTCCAGCAGCTGCACCTCAGGCCTGCCAGCCCTCCCCCTGCTTGCTGTATTGCAGATGTGTTTGCCACAGGTCTGCTATCAGCACACGCACCCTCTCCGAGGAAAGGCCCAGGTGTTGATGAAAGAGTAATTCATTGCATCTGGCTTAGCCACACCATGCTAATTGAGAACAGACCCAGAGCTTAAATCAAGGCATCACTGCTAGGGGGTGCCTTGATTTCTGATGGGAAAGCTCCTCAGAGGGAGCTTCTGTTCACTACTTCACTCAAATTTGCTCTTGTGTGGCTGCTGTAGCCATGAAGAGTTTATCTATAGTATGCTTTGCTATAGTAGAAGGTAACTCTGCAAGAGTAACCTCTACATATCAGAGGAGTTAATTACACCCTACTAAATCAGTCGTAGAAAAAGCTTATGATACCTAAACTTGGAACTTGCCTTCACAAAGGTCCTGACTTTGCCCTGCAGGACTGGAAGGAAAAGCTGAGAGGAAAGTAGAGACCATTTTCTCAGTAAGGCAAAACTATGCAAGAACAGCCATAATTTGCAGAACACCAGACTTCCTCATTTGTTGCCCCTCTATCTCCCTTCAAAATATTATATTATTCAGCAATGATTTCTCAGCTGTGATAATTATCAGTAATCATGGCCTATTATGGGCTTAAATCTAAGAGTAGCAGTACAAATAAGATCTAAGCATAAGACAGACTATATTCAGAATTAATGGTTATTCTCCTAGCCCTATCATTTCCTGCTGTCCATGTTATCAGAGATACTGTAGGATCACATAAACAGCTGGAGCCAAAGCAAAAATGTAGGGTCAATGGTGAGCTGCAGAGATGTAAATACCACATCTTCACATCTTTTGCTCCTAGGGCTGCTCTGAAAGTAATGCCTCTCGTTCTATTATGTTGGCCCACTATGTCAGAGGTGGATGCTGATGGTATGGCAGTGGAGGTTGAACCTTCGTACCAATATTCGGTTCCGTTTTGTTGCCGTGTGAATGATGGCAGCAGGTGGCAGTCTGACAGAATGGCGTCTGATGTGGAAGGGCGTATGAAGCAAAGCTGTGTTGTTGAATTCCTCCATGCAGAAGCAATGGCACCCACTGACATTCATCAACACTTGCTGAATGTTGATGGAGTCCATACAGTCAGTATGAACACAGTGAAGTGGTGGGTGGTCTATTTCAGCAGCGGTAACAGCAACATAAGAGACAAGACACATTTTAGACAGCCATGCACAGCTGTTACATCATGAAATGAAGAGCATCTCTAACAGCACATCCACGCAAAGCAACTATAATGACTGTGGCTATGCCGAAAAATAGTGTTTTGTAACTTAAAATTTTCTCTATCGAATAGTACTATTGTTCTCTTTGTATCTGCTGTAGTTTCCATGGAAATAAATAGATGGTATTACTTTAATGGTGACCCATGTATTTATTCAAAGCCAAACTTCCTGCAGGTGCTGTACTCAGCCATCCCTTTTGTCATAAGGATTTCCAAGTCTGAAAGCACCAGCAGTGCTAACTCTCAGAAGGGTGATTACCTTTCATCTGGTCACTCCCTCTAAGGAAATACATCCCCACAGTACTGATGGCTGCAGTTTGGGTCTCTGCAAAATCCTTGGGGGAAACTGAAACATACATAAGTCTTAAATGTAGGCTTGGATTCCACAAACTCATCTTTCACTTAGAAAGCTGGAAGGCACACTAGAAAATGAGCTTAATGAAAAACAATTGCTCTTGCTTCAACAATCACAGAACACAATTACTTTGTGCGTGAATGTGTCATTTCCCCTACACCAAGACAGGACAAAGGGTTGAGTTAAAATGTACATTATAAAACAACAAATTCCCATCTCCCCTACTTCATCCAAGACAAGCAGCAGAACTGTTTTACACCAAAAAAAAAAAAAAAAAAAAGGGGGGGGGGGGGGGGGAGGCGGGAAGAAGGGCCTTTAGCATTTCAGTGGAACCGAGTCACTGTCAGCTGAGTTACTAGGCTCAGTACTGCAGTATATATATTGTAAGTAGAGGAACATCTGGCCCCAAAGCCTGCTTTTTCATGAAAGGGTTGCAAGTCACCCCTACTGGGAAGATAGCCCTGTGACTGCCAGATGAGAATGTCAGCCAAATGTTATGCTATTCCTACAAAAACTGGACAATTCGGGATGATCAAAACACAGTCTTAAAAGACATAAAACTAGAGGACAACTGGGAAGTTTTCTAGATGTCTCGTTAAATTTCTGTAGAACTTGATGAGCACTGGTTGACAACTTCAAGCTGCCAGCACTACCTCTGCAGACAGCATAAGGCTATGTATTAGCCACAGTGACCAGAATTGACATAGGACCTGATTAGAATGGTATGTTTTAAGCAAAGTTCCTCTCAAAGTTGTAAGGGGTGCTCTGTCATCTTCCTTGCACAGAAGCTTCTCCAGAAGAATTAATTCTGTTGTCTTTCCAGTTCCACAAACTCAAATGGTCATTAAGAAAGTGGAATTGAAGTGTCATTCCCAAAGATTTTCAGGTGACTAAGCTAGCTAATGATTTTTTAATATTTTCTTATGCCTTCAAGAAAAGTGATGTAAGTAATGCAGGGGGTTTTTTTTGTTGTTTTTTTTTTTTTTCCAATTCTATAAACTCATCTGTTTTTGTCTCATTTCAGAGTTCCTCTGGAGCAGCTCTCCAATTGGGCTTGTTTTGTATTTGTTGAAATATATATCCGTTTATTGTCCTAGTAACAGAGTTGAAAGGCAGGAAGCATAATATCTTTCAATTTCTGAGAAGTCATTTCTTTCTGGCTAACCTGGTCTCTCTGACCCAGAAGAAAGAGTATCATCATTGAATTAATTTCCTGCCAAAAAAAGAAGAGCCTAAAATGAAATAAGCTACAGGGAACTGTGTGGAATAGGAATAATAGCAGAGTGATATGTTCATTTTATGTAACTACTTCTGCTCTTTTATGCGCCAAGTAAATTATTCTATTCTTCCAGTTCTTGTGGCTTGTTAAACATTAGAGGTGTTATTATAGCTGCAGCTTGAAGAATCTTATTCCTGAACTATTTAAAACTGCTTATAAAAAAAAAAAAAAAAAAAAAAAAAAAGTAATGCAATGCATCTGCACTTAAACAGAGATACTATTAGGTATAAAACAAAACCAGCCAAAGGTAAACTAAAAAAGAATTAAATAAATTGCAGGAGGTAAACGCATCTCATAGAAAGTAATACACGCAGTATTTTTCAGGCTAGTGACTACTTTAGAGAAATTAGATACAGATTACTGTTCATTAGGATTTTTACTTAGACCTTCATAAACATTTAAGCAAGCTTGTCCACAGCACCCTCCTTAGACCGATTCAGAAGGTAAATACAAGAACACTCAATTATCTAAAATGACTTATTTTCTTTCAAGATTATGTTACAGTTGTCTTGCAACTTATGGAGAAATCAAGCTGAAAACTGTAGTGTATTGGCTATTAACTCATAAGAATTTAGGAGGCCAGCCAAAGGAGATACCAAGAAAGCAATTCTGCTTTTATAAAGCTAAAAAAAAGTTGATATTTCACTTCTTCCTTTTCTGCAGGATACATATACTGATCCTACTTACAGCAATAATAATTGCTTTTACCTCAGGACTTAGCAACCTACTTTCTTAAGACAGTACAATAGGGTATTTTGGGGGACATTGTTTAGTGTGCAGACTTTGTGCTTCCGTATACCAGATCACCTCTCCCTGTCTTTCCAGTTGGGAGACTTCATTTTCTTTTGTGAAAGGATGGCTTTTCCCAGTTTAGACTGCTAATCCTCCCT